CTATTTAAAAGACGTAAGGAAGCGGGTTCGACAGTTCGACTGCAAGTTGGACTGCCAGTTCGAGCTCTAGCTCTGTTTTCGTTATAGGAGTTAGGGAAGTCTAAGTTCTACCAATTGTAAGTTTGTAAAGTTGCCACTGTGCCCGAATCTTCGGAGTTCGGGCAGAACAGAAGATGCCCTTCCTCAGGCTCCCAGAAATACCAGTTAATTTTGTACATATAGGGTAAGTTAAGGTTTTATTTAATTGTTATTCATATCCAAGAATAAATGTGTGTATATGTGTTGTTTGAAAACCCTTTTGAGTATCATTTGTTATTATCACTTTTGAAGTTCATTCTCTAATGGATCTAGAACACAACTTAGGCAACCCCCGCCTACAGTTTGTGACAATATCAGGATCCTTTTGACAAATTCACACTACGAGTGTGGTTTGAAATTATTGAGAAAATTATCTGAAGTAGGTTAAGTAGATCAGTTGATGAGTAGTATCACAACTGATTTATAAAACAAATTATATTCTCAAACGAAATGTCCAGAAAAACACAAATCAATGTCTTTTTGGAATACATGTATGTACATATTTCTCACGAACAATAACGAACCTTGTTAACGTCCTGCGTTAATTTATAGTATAAGTGGAACCAGAGCTGAGCAATATCTGTACTTACAAATACTTTCTAGTATTTAAATACTGGTGAGTATTTAAATACCGAGTATTTAAATACTTCCTCATTTTGGTAATTTTATTTATACTTACAAATATTCGTTGAAATTAATTTATAACTAAGTATTTGCAAATACTTTGGTGAAGTACCTATTTAAATATGTCGGAAATATTTAAATACTCCAGAGTATTTGAATACCCAAAAGTATTTGAACATTTTATGAGTATTTGATTATTTGTAGAGTATTTAAATACTTCTGAAGTATTCAAGTATTCAATTACCCAGACAGTATTTAAATATTTGTGAAAGGTATTTAAATACTCCAAGAATGTTCAAATACTTAACCATATCCAATTCATCCCTCGCTGAAAGGAAATGGAAAGGTCAAGACATAATAGAAGGAGAAAACAATAATAATTTTGATTTTGTGTTTATTCCCGGTCCTCGCCCCTTCGCGTTCGAAGTTTCCACGTTTTCACGTATATTGATCATGATCATATGGAAACTTCGAACGCGAATATCTTCGTAATCGTAACCCGACGTAACCCTATCATAGATCTAAATGTGTATATTTAGATCTATGACCCTATCGAACCTGGTTTCGTTGAATTTGTTATAATAATCGCGAGAATAATCGCGAACCGGTTATGGAATGAAATACAGGGTGATCCATTTGAAAACCGAAAGTTGATGTTATCTCCAAGAAAACCGGAAGATGAAAAAGAAATCCTAAAACGTGAAAAAATTAAAAATTTCAGGAATATAGCTAAAATAACGAAGAAGAAAAGGGGGGTATACCATGATTATGTGTCACCCGGTACCTATATTATCATGATTCCTCGAAATGCCAAAGAATTTACTGTTTAAGCTCTTCAGAATTTTCATTTACTTTTGTTAAAAGTATTAAAATATTAAAAACCTGAAACAAGTATATTTTTACAACTGTACAAGTGTGTACAGCGTTTTCTATATTCGTTTGAATCCCGAATGTACCTACAATACAAAAAACAGTTTATTTTTCATGCTACATATGGAATATGAAATGATGACCTAATGGTAAATTGGTTAGAAAAAAGTATTAGAAAACGTCAAAAATATTTGAATACTATGAATGTATTTGAATAGGTACTTCGGGAATATTAAATTACAATGATAATATTTAAATATTTTGAGAATATTTAGATATTTTGAGAATATTCATATATTTTGAGAATATTTAGATATTTTGAGATTATTTGAATACTTTGAGAATATTGGAATACTTTTGAGATTTTCCAATACTCAAAAGTATTTGAATGTTCTTGTAATATTCAAATACTCACTGTGAACTATTCAAATACCATTGTATTTGTTATTCAAATACTTCTTTGCCTTCAGAAATATTCTATATTTAAATCTCTTCAATATTCTCAAGTATTTAATACTTGATATTTTGAAACTTTTCTCAGAGTATTTGCCCAGCTCTGAGTGGAACAAATATATATTTTCTCCAAGCAGCAGGGATAATGGCTTTTCACTGCCGCTCAACAGGCAGAAAAGTGTACTTTTACTGCATAGGCAGAAAAAGTTTGTTGCTATGCAACGTTCCAAGAAATTCTAGTGAAATTAGTGAGTACTTGATCTAAACAGGCAAAAAAGTTGAGGCAAAACGTCATTGTTTTTTGTTATGTGAAATATCGCTAAATTTGGCGTGTTTTGTTACTTCAAAAGGACTGAATTTGTTGGTGTGAATTGATTATTGTTGAGAAGATATGTAATTTCGATTCAATAAACAATGATTATTATTCATATTGTGTTGGCTTTGGATGCAAAACAAGCAAGACAAACATAAATTGTCCTCCATGGGTGAGTTGGAAATTGTTAAGATTCTCAGAAAACCCATAGTAATTTATTTTCTGGATGTGTCTGTGGATGTTCATAACTTGGATTTCAGGCACAATGTTTTTTATATGGACATTGATTTGCTCAAAACGCTTAGCCCCCATGTAAGTTTCAAAGTTTATTGATAATGAAACCCACAAACTGCTACATTCTAGAAGGCCTTTTTCATTGCAAATGAAAGTGAAAACACTGTAACAAAAAGTAAAAAGGAGGATGACAATCTTGATGAGGAACTACAAAAACATTTTGAAGGTGAAAACGACAAGTGAAAATTCCCAAACTCAAGAGCTACATCAAAATATTGTCTTTCCAGATTTGCCTCCTTAGCTTCTCCTTCTCCAGGAAGGAAAAAATGGAGGTTCACATTCTGGGCAGATATTCATCTTCAATGAAAAAATTTCTTCCAAACATTTTACTTTCATTCACTCTCTATCCACCTCTCATGCACCTTATAATAGTGGAATTTCTATTGAAAAATAGGTAGGTATTCTCGAAAATTATAGACTCAAAATAGACCTTAGGTACTCGTTACCATTCGAGAACCTCTTTCCAAACTTTTTATATCGATTTATTTCGATTTCTTCTGATAGTGCTGAGACTTGAGCTTTGCTCACCCTGTATTGTGACATTTGAATGAAAATATTCAACTTTAATTTCGTATTCATTCGCCTCCCTAAGTGTGAGAATAGAAATGAAATTCAACTTTTGAGTCAATAAAAAAAATCAATAATTATTCTCGAATATTAATTGATTGCAACATTATCCTCTTTCCTAATTGAATATTTATATTCAATCACGTATGCTCTTTTATGAAAGCAGAAAACAAGAAAATATTTCAAATACTACGAGCGCTTTCCATGGGCCAACATGAGATAGAAATAGATAGGTATCCGTAACCACTGTGGGTTGCCTGAACAATATTTTTGCCTCACTTGAGGATTCGCAGAGGATCCCTCCCAGTTGTTTATATTGAGTTTATTCACAACCTAACTGCAACTATTCATAGTAAATATGACTTAATGATCGACCCAATAGTCGTCATTACATCATCGCGAATAGGAATACTACACTCAGGTGCAAAAAAAACGCAACAAGTCAATATTCGGTCCAATTTAAAGTCTCATAACATAATTTTAGATTCGATTTTCATTACTTTTCAACAAACTCTAGATGAAATGATTAATTCCAACTTGTATATCCAGTCTTTTGTTTAATGCTAGTGGATCAGTCATTATAAAAGGTTGAATGAGAGGTCGTTGTATTACCCTAATTTCAGAACACCCTGTGAAATAATTTCGTTGCCAAATTATTTAAAAAAATCATTTTCTGTTAGGAACCATTCCTTTTCCATATTTTGACTTTTGATTCATGTCTTCAAAAGTGAAGTCGAACGTTTTAGACAGACTGGCGGAAATAAGCGTAGGGCAGGTTGTGGTAGAACACGAAAAATTACTGCTACTAATGACGGATTTCTTCACGTTGAAACTCTGCGGGACTGCAATTTGGCACTGAACATTCAATTCTGAACTTAGATCAAACTATCAAACAATGTTATTTCAACTGACGAATCCAGATTCTGCTTATATTCTCCAGACAGACGGAAAAGAGTATATGGAGAAGGACCGGAGAAAGATTTGTAGGAGGTTTAGTAATGGTGTAAGCAGGAATAACCCAGGAGGTCTGCACTGAGTTGGTTATTGATGAGATATTAAACAACGTTGATTCATTCAACGTCACGTTGTACCTTTCAGTGGATATATCGGCGATGGCTTTATCCTAAGGCAGGACACTATGGCTACATACATATACAGCGATGTGTGTTACACAATACCTCGCGGAAGTTGATATTTGAAAAATGAACTGGCCAGCATGTTCACCTGATCTCTACCCGTTAGAGCTTGTATGGGACATGCTTGGTAGACGAGCCAGGGATCGCGATTGCCCTTGGCTCAATATTCCCCAGGATGCTATTCATAACCTTATTGACAGTATGAAGCGACGTATGCAGGGAGTTGTAAGAGCTAGAGGTGGAAAAACAAAATATTGAGCTAATTCCTTGTAGAAAGTACGTTCTTTAGATTGATTGTTACAGTTGAAATTTAATTTTGAAGTGGAATTGAAGTTTGCATAGATGAATTTCCTTTTTTTTTTTTCAAGTTCAAGTTCATTTCGCTCTTAAAAATGAACCAGTGCCCAAAAAGACATGACTCAAAAGTCGAAATGAAGAGAAAGAATGTTTCATAATAATAAATGGTAGTTTGGATGAATTTGGTCACGAGATTACGCGAGATTATTCCACAGGAAGTTTTGAAATTAGGGTTATGCAACAAACTTTCAATTAACCCTGTATGATGAAAATAAAATAGTTATTAGACTTCAAATTTCACAGAATATTAACTTGTTGCGTTTTTTTTGCATCTGAGTTGGACCAGTTCCGAAAACGAAAACACTCACTCGTCCTTGCAGCGACTCGTTGAGGTACACCGTCCCCGTCTCGTTGTCGATGCGAAAGGGCAGCCTCGGGGGCGGACGTCCGCCCCTGCCGCCCGCCCCGTAGAACTCGTATGGCTCGAGGCCAAACACGAGCGGCACACCGTCGGGATCGTCGCCGTGCGCCTGCGCCACTCTGCTGCCCACCGTTTCGTTCTCGCGCAGCTGCCAGTTGCGCGAGTCCAGCCAGATGGAGGGGGGCGTGTTGTCGCCAAAACGCTGGCATCGCACTGAAAATAAATGGTATTTTTATTCTTAACCTTCCAGTAGTCTCACCTTAAAGAGGAGAGTTTCAACCAAATCGTCATGCAGGCCTTTACTATTTTCTGCTTTTTGGGCTTATGAATAATTCAATTGAAAAACTGATTGAATCATCGTAAAGAAGAAGGTTGGGACTAGGGTCCGGTTATCATACGGAGTCGAAACTCATTCATTTATAGAAGATATAGATTTTTGAAAATCGAAAACATTGAAAATTTTTTGTCTCAAATTGAAATATTTTTGATCTCAGTACAATTGTTGGAAATTCGGCAAGATGTCACAGGAATATCAGCTCCTGAAATTTATCCATTTGGACAAAAAGCAACAAAAACTATTATTCTCATTCTCATTATTTCTTGAAAAAATACAATGCAGGAAACTAGGATGTAGTAGTTTAGGCACTACCTGATAAATGGCAGTGTTCGAAATGACAGCGGCAGAGAGGAATGGTGCATTGTATTGCGAGCAGATGGCGCTTGGGAGAGAAGATGAATTCAAAGCAGTTCACACCGTTGCCAATGTTACACATATTACTCGGACATATTATGAAATCTAGGCGACGTGATAATACAGAGGGTATTATTCAATTATCTAGGCATATTTCAAGGGGTGGTTCTCCGAGTATTTGTAAGACGAACAAGTCTGATATATAAAATTCTCCTGTCACGGTAACGGTGTTAGTGGTCGAGCTCTTCCGAAACGGCTCGACCGATTTGTATGAAATTTTTGTGTCGTAATCTATTTTTTGAATCCAATATGGCGGACGAGTATATAGTTATTCGATTTCATTCAAAATTGGTACTTAGGGGTTTTCGAGGTCAGAGATTATGAATATTCCGTCAACTTGATCGGTTTTCCTACAAAGAAATGGAAACGAAAACCACAAAATCAGTTCTTTGGCGATATATTGAAAACTACGAGAGACATGTCAGTTTTTTTTTTCAGATTATTGTTCAGCACCAGAAATGCGCAACTTTAACCTAATTTGAGCAGCATCGTATCTCTCAAGATAACCGAGATTCCTTTGCTCAAGCTCGAATTACGGGCACCTTTAATATACGATAGCTGATGCCTGGTAAACGTCGTTTTGCTATACATATACATTTATATCTAAGAAATAATTTTCAGTTGAATATTCATCAAAATACTTTTATTATTTTGTTTTCTACCCCATTTCAGTTTGGCTATCCATAAAATCGTGTTTCATTAGTATTTCAAACTATTTTTTCTTCCACTACTCCTTAGTTCGACGATCTATCTCGTTTTTTAAGCTATACTATCAATTTTCTACTTCCATTCAGTTTGGCCACGATTTTGCCTATCATTGAAAGCGTGTTTCATTATAGTTTTTCAAACTACTATTTATTGCCAAGCTCATTCGCCATATATTGAATCCGTCATCTTGAATTTCCCAAGTTTGAAGCATAAAATCAGAATCTCCGACCCCGAAAATCATCAGATACAAATTTTGAATAGAATCGGATCATTATTACAAAATCATTCGCCGTATTGAATCCTCCGTCTTTAATTTCTCAAATTTGATGATGGAATCATAATCTCCGACCCCAAAATCCCCAGATACAATTTTTGAATGGAATCGGATCATAGTTACAAAACTCGTTCGCCATACTGGATCTGTCATCTTACCATTACCAAACTTTGACGAAAGAATCATTATCTCCGACTCCTAAAACCCCTCAGATACCAATTTTGAATCCGTTTTATTGGATGCGCCATCTTGAATTTTAAAAAATTTACGATAGCATATTATAATCTCCGACCTCAAAAATCCCAGATACCAATTTTGATTTGAATCGGATCATAATTACAAAACTCGTCTGCACAGGAGAATTTTATCTATTATATATTTTCTCATCGTATTACTGAAAGTAATGACTCTCATCAGGACTCAGGACTACCATAATTCACGGTCTGCTCCTTGGTTGAGCTCAGGAAAGGATTTCGTGAAATGATAACAAATTCAGTTATATATATTCCATGAGATATTCCGAAAGATCACCTTCAGCTTGTCTGAAGATAAAATAAATGTTTGGGAAGATTGAAGAAAACGGCTTCTTCGAGTTAATTTATCACTGATCACGTTTCAGTTCTTTTTCATGCCCTCAACTTGTAAATCTAGAGATTGCGCACTAAATAATAAGCTCCAATGTGACATTCAATTTCCGGAATCCGTCTCAATTCGGCTTGATTACGGTAGACGGCTGTTCCTTTATTAGCTGGTTTTATGCTGCCTAAAATCCAATTCCAGCTGACGTAGATTGACGAAGCGATAAAAACTCTGATAAAAAAATTAATAGCTATTATATAGGTAGGTAGGTTTCTCTAGGCAATAAAAGGTGTTTTCTGAAACTTACTATGGGTTAAAACTGAATAATACACAAAATCATCTCCACGACAATTTATTGTGAAAACTTACGGGTTCATTGCAAATAATCACATCGAGAGAACATGTTTTTGGACATACGTACGTCCATTATCAGCCTTATAAGAAATTACATAGTCCTACGATGCTACGATGAGAAAAAGAAATTAAGTAACCAGAGGAAACCTCACCATATATAGCTTACATGAAGGTGAAAGAATTTTTTCATCTAATAACCGTTGAGAATTAAAAATACCTAGGAGTGGAATGATTGATTGTTTTCCTAGGAGGTCAACCATGAAAAACTCCCATAGATGGGCATTATGGTGGATAGTGAAAAACTTAAAAACCCCTTATCATTTGGGGCACTTCCATGAGCAAGTTTAAGGAATACTGATGAATGACTTCCATCTTGTTAAACAAACCACATGTGGAGGCAGAAAATCACATGACCACCGAGAAAAACTACAAATGTCAATTTAGTGATGAATTGAATCCGACAAACGAAGCTGCCCTGGCTGTCAGGTTGCGTCATGACTTTGTGTATTATTTAGTTTTAACCACTGTGGTCCACTTTGAGGAACGATGGACTTCTACCAGAGTTCACTCTGAGTTGTTAGCTGGATCCAGAGAGGTTAGGTGCCAATTCGTGGAAACAACTGTCGGACAGTCTGGGAGGGAAAATGTGACTGGTGGTTTTCCCCAGGGATCTATACTAGGCCCATTGTTGTTCAGTATATACACTAATAACTTTTTATCGAGTATAAAAACTTGTGAATCTCACTTTTATGCTGATGACACACAGCTATATCACTCATTCTTTCCTGATGATTGGCTATTGGCACAACAGGCAATAATAGAAGACCTGGATCGACTAGTACAGCTATCGACACTGCATTCCTTGAAAATCAATGCAATGAAATCAAATGTCATGATTTTTGGTAAAAAAAAACAATACATCGAATCAGTTATGAAAATACAAGTTCAAGGTGAAGAATTGTCCTTTGTTGAAAATGTGACAAATTTGGGTTTGTATCTGGATGTAGCTCTTAGCTTCAAAAAGCATATTAGTTATTGTATTCAAAAAGCATATTGTTCCCTGAAAATGCGCCATCCTCATATAGACACTTGCTATCAACTACAACCAAAAGGATGTTAAGTGATACGCTGGTTCTAAGAAATTTCAACTTTTGCGATGTATTATATAGACCTTGTCTGGACAAAAGTGACATGAATCGTGTGGAGAAAGTACAGAAATCCCGTCTCAGATTCATCTATGGCATCCGCAAGTATGATCCAGTATCGCACATGTTGAAACCCTCGAAGTGGTTGAAAATGTAAGATCAGCGGAAACTTCACTTCCTAGTTCTGTCACACTCTATAATTCTTAAACAGAATCCTCCATATCTGTATGATAAAATAACATATAAAACTGATGTTCACAATCTGAATTTACGGCATAGGGGTCGCATCACTCTTCCACCTCATAGAACCACCTTATTCCAAAGGAGCTTCTCTTACAATATTTACAAAATAATTAATGAATTACAACCTCCAAGCTAATGAAGTCATTGACATTCAAAAAGAAAGTCAGAGAAAGTCTTTTAGCTACATATATATAACTCTTTTCACGAGCATCAAAGGAGTGCTTTTTTTATCTCATAATCCGTTATCAACTTGACGAACAGTTCAGATTATAATTGTTTTTCTTACTTTGGGGCTGAACTAGAACTTTTCCAAATTGTTTTCAGCTCCATTATGCATCATTGTGTTTAAAATTGCAGTGAAAATGTTTTTTTTTTGTTTAATGCAAATAAATATTATTATTATCATTATTATTTGACAAAAAACTTGGATCAGCTACTTGTGTTTTTCGTTCACGAACCTATCAGGTTAAGTCCGTATGACACGGGCCAGTATTTCATTTATTTTCTGAATGAGAATTTGTATTTAGAATTTACTGCACCGTTTTTTCACAGAAACCGAGAGTCTGACTGCGAAATTGGATGCAAAATAAAACCTGTCCTATTTTTCATTCATTATAGAATGAAGCGCTTGCGCATAACACCCTTATACAACCTTCAAATTGTTTGTTTTGTTTCGAAGTGAGAAACAATTTTTTGAGGTTATATGGTAATGTCACTTTTTTGGTAGTTTGAAAAAGTAATTGATGTAATATGAATTACGAATAATATATGTCCATTGATGAATTTTACTGTTATTTAAAATTTAGATAACATCAGTTCTATAATAGTTCGGTCATCGGAGCATATTATTATGTTGGTGCTTTTATTGAAGAATACCAAAAATAACCCCGTTTGTTTGCAATCAAACACCCAGAAACTCACGAGTAGGCGCTCTGACCGAGGCTCTGACATACTTTGACAAAGATGGAATGTTGATGTAGTAGTAGTAGTAGTATGGGCCCTTATTGCCAAAAATGTTGATCAAGTACCTACCTGATTTCGGGAGATATAAATTCTCACATATTTGTATATTCCTCGGTTCATTTAGTCCAGAACAAAAGTGAACTGATCATTATTCATTCTTATAAAATTTTTGAATACTCATTTTTTTTATGTTCTG